GTTTAATATAAATAATAAAATCCTAGTTCTAGAAGAAACTTTAAGGAGCTAAGCTAATCCACACTCATTTTGCAGATGAGCGATTCAAGGTCAAGAAAAAAGTGGCTGGTGAGTCTAAGAGCTGTGGCTAGTACCTCTAGGACAGTGCTCTTATCCCATCAGCACATTGGCTACCTGTGGAGAGCATCAGGATGCCTACTTTGAGGAGAAATAACGGTGATCCAGCCCCGAATCCTGGCTGAGTCAGTTGGACCTTTTCTCTCCCCTCATAAGTTCTGGTTTTACTAATAATGCCCATAAAAAAACTACTTTTGAACTCATGGCTATTTTTATTCCGCAAGTAAAGCAATGTAGTATGGAACTGAGAACACTTACTTATATATTGCATTATTTATAAATAGGCAAAATAGTGGTTTTATTGGGCAAGTGTATATTTTTACAATTGGCTTCACCTGTATTTAGTTCAAAATTGGACAGAATACTGTGACTTGATCAAGATGTTGGTATACAGAGGAGGTATAGAGCTTTGGTGACAAGGCCTATGTTGAAGTTTTGAATATGGCACATAGTACTCTTGGCCACCTAACCCTTGGCTCACTTTCCTCTTGGGATAGTAGTACTGATACTAGGATTGTTGTGACAGTTAAACTGGGAAATACATATAAACCCTTAGTATAGATCTTTAAAGAAATATTGAGATCCTCTTATGTGCCTATCACTGGCATACAGGGTATATTATGCACTATTTATTTATCATGGATTCTAGCCATCTAACTGGGGAATAGACCTAAAACAAACTGATAAGTAACTATAACTGAAAATTACATAGAAGAACTGCATGCTGGAAGAACATGAATCCCCCAGAATCAATCTATTTCAAGAATGCCATAGAAAGCTTGCCTGATGAAGTAAAAACTGTACCTGAAGGATGAAGAGTTGGCCAGGGGACCAAGGAACACTAATGGAGCGGTATGTGCAATGGTCCTGAGTTGGAAGGGACATAGCTTGTTTTAGGAACCGAAGACTAACATGAGGGGGAAAATGGTACAAACTAAGCCTGGAAAAGGGAAGAGAAACCAGATATTAGATAGAGCCTTGTTAGGTGTTTTGAACTGTATAACTGTATCCTGAGTAGTGAGAAGCTACCCAAAGGGTTTAACCAGGGGAGTAATGTGAACAGATGTGAATTTCAGGATGATCGCTTCTGCTAACGTGTGGAGATGACTGAGCAGGCCAGTAATGGATGCAGACAGTTGAGTTAGGCCCTTGAAGTTGTCCAGGTGGTGGCAGTGGAGGTGGCAACTTGGCCAGTTATGGAAAGGAAGTGGACATATTTTAGAACTATTTTGTGGATGGAAGTCACAGGCTTTGTGGGTTAGGATTAGGAGAGAGGAAAAGGAAGAGCTATGGAAGACTCCAGATACTTAGTCTGTCGAAGTCCTCAAATGTTTTCAATTGCTACTACAACTTTTATTTTACCAATGCTTTCATAATATATCAGACCTTAAGGCTGCACATGATTTTGACTGGGAGGAATTTAAAGCCTCAGTAGTCAGTTGGTGACCATTAATAGTCTCAACTTTTATTTACTAAACACTTTATAGCCCTGGGTGCTATCTGTTCTCATTTACAGACTAAGAAATTGAGGCACGGAGGCATTAAGTAACTTGTTCAGTTAATAATAGTAGAGCCAGAATTGGAACCCATACATTCTGTCTTTGGGGCCCATGCTATCTGGCCATTTTTATTCCTCAAAACAACCTTTAAAAACACTATTCTGATGGTTTGACCTTTATATCCCTACTGAATGTTAACATTCCCCCACCCCCAACCCCAACCTCATCTAACCCAGTGTAAAGGAATAAAATAGAGTTGATCAAATAATCACCCTTCTTTTTTTTTTTTTTTTTCCAATGTTTTACTTATTTTTGAGAGAGACAGAGACAGGATGCTAGTGGGTTAGGGGCAGAGAGAGAGGGAGACACAGAATCCGAAGTAGGTTCCAGGCTTCTAGCTGTCAGCACAGAGCCCGATGCGGGGCTTGAACTCACCAGCTGTGAGATCATGACCTGAGCCGAAGTCGGACACTCAACCAACTGAGCCACCCAGGTGCCCCAAATAGTCACCCTTCTTGATTGCTCTTCTAGTTGAACTGAAAGCGTGGCTTTAAATTTAAATTCTTTTGAATCCTTGCAAATGTGTAGAATGACTAAAATTTTTAAAAATTCTTTTCAATGCATAGTACATTTTTCTTATTTTCTGGACTGATTACATAGGCTTTGTCCTCTGAACATTCATTACTACAGTCATACTGTAAAAATATGAAGGCAGCAAAATGGAAGAGCGCATATACCTTTGCAGGATAAATCTAGCCACATATGTTCTATTTGGAGAGAAAACATTTATGAGTATTCTGCAGAAACATTTATATGCCTATAAATAACATTGCTAGGTTACTTTGCTTAGCGTGAACATTTGAGGACATTTTTGCAGCCGATTTATTATGTCTGTGTGAGGATTAAAGATGGTAACAATGATATAATCTGCCTGTTGGATTCTAAATTTCAAAACTTTTGAATATGAGTGTTTTGTATATGAGTGCAGCAATTTCTGGAAGGATATTCCTTTCCTTGGGTACCTGCTTGTTGTCAGCTTTAAAGAATCAAAGCAGATTAAACATGGCTGGTGTGTTCCATAACTGTGTCTTTTTCAAAGTTGGGGCCTATCTCATTTCTCTGGAAAATCTTCACTTGAGTTGTCCTGAATATAACCACTAATAGACTGTTGAGCGTTTGCAGAGAGCTTTTCATTTTCAGGATTTCACAATCATTGCCTTTTAATCCATATGACACCCCCGTGAGGGGTAGGTAGATACATTCAAACATCCAAGTCTCCTGCAGGCACATTTTCAGTGCCAGCAGGAATATTGTGATTGGCACTGACTTTCCTTAATTTCCCAGAGGCCAGACACCTGGAGAGGCTTTTCTGCAGGCCCAGGTACATTCCAGTGCTGCAGCCTCCTCATTCCTTCTGCTATTTTACTGAGATTCTGTGACTACATGCACTATTAACCATAAGCTGTGGTGACTGTGTCTGCATAAAACCCATACAGGAGGGGTATGTTTCAGAAGATTGTTAGAGGGCCCAATGAACATTTACATCCTATATAACAAACTTCAACTAGTGTTTACTTCTGTCACTCTCACAAGGGTTCTTGTCATTCAGTGGTGATATCTGTAGCTCCAAGTAACTATTTAGATTAATAAATAAGCCCCCAGGATTTCTCTTAAAGTCTATAATGTATTCAGAAGGTATGCACAGCTAGTGACTAAACCGTCAATACAGAATCGATTGATACAGAGCACTAGAAATTATATGTTGTATGCCTATTTGTATCAGGTACTGTGATAAACATAATACATTGTATTATTTTGTAACAACTACATGACGTAGATGCTATTATTCCCATTTTAGGGATGTTGAAAGCAGTAGGTTGCCCACAGTCTGCTTACTTAAACCTAGTTCCATCAGACTCCAAAGTTACTTCTTAGCCATTACCTGATATTCACTGCTTAAGGTGGAAGACAGTATATAGAATTTGGAAGTGCTAGGACAACATATAACAAAACAGTGGTGTTAATAGGGTGAATATAAAAAGGTACATACTGACTTTCATTTTTATAGAGTAAAACAAACCCATGTAAAAGAATTGTTCTTATCTACATCATACTGTATATCTTTTTTTTTTTTTTTTAACGTTTATTTACTTTTGAGACAGGGAGAGACAGAGCATGAACGGGGGAGGGCAGAGAGAGAGGGAGACACAGAATCTGAAACAGGCTCCAGGCTCTGAGCTGTCAGCACAGAGCCCGACGCGGGGCTCGAACTCACGGACCGTGAGATCATGACCTGAGCCGAAGTCGGACGCTTAACCGACTGAGCCACCCAGGCGCCCCCATACTGTATATCTTTTTACCTCTCCAGGCACCTGTCATAACTTTATAACTTCAAATGAAAAGTATTTCTAAATCTTTTGCTCTAATTTCTTAAAAAGGAATGATGATTTATCTTACAGTTGCCCATACTAATGTTTCAAACCTTAGATTAATTGGGTGGTTAGAAATTACTGAAGAGATTAACTCTTATTAGTAGGGCTTTTAATTGAAAAAGTACTCGTAAATAGCAAAACATTCAAATGAAAGAAAAAAATCTTCGGTTTAAGACCTCCTGATCTCCGGTTGTCCCAAGAATCCTCACTAGTTTCTTACGGATCCTTTTAGAAATCGTAAGTATATTTGTTGGCATATGTGCATACATATATGTTCGCGTGTATGTTGCACCTGATAAGCCTCTGTACTAAAACCTGTGAACCAGATATGTTGAATCCATCATGACTTGAATGATAATAGTTCAGTGCTCAATACATGATCAAAAATTTATCCTCTGAATATATTTTAATAGAAATCATTTACTGCATGCATTATAAAATAGTTTCCTATGCATAGACAATTACAATTGCACTTGTAAGAAAAATGTTTACATAATATTAACCATGTCTTAAAACTCTGACATAAATACTGTGTAATTCTAATATAAGATGGTTGTAATTTAGGTACCTTCATCTGTAGAGTCGCTGAGTTCTGTATGAGAGAAAACTAAGAATTAGATGCAAAGGTCCTAGTAGATCTAATATTTTCTTTGGAGTTTCTCTGCACTTCCAAATGTCTTTATTATAATTGACAAAATTTACAAGTGACATAACATATTAAAGAATAGGGTAGTATTGTGAAGAAAAGAGTTATTTCACTATAATACACAGCTATATTTTGAAAATTTGAACAGGATAATGTGTCATCAGTTTATCTCAAATTGTGTTTCTGGCATAAATATGAGCTCTGAAAATTAGCTCTTAATCTGCCTAAAAAAGGATTTGAGCATTTTATGCATTTTTTAAAGTTAAGTTGCTAATTCCTTTTTTTGTTTTTGTTTTCTAATTCTAGGTTTCAGTATAAAAGCAGTGCCCTTCCAGAATGCCATCTTGAATGTAAAGGAACTTGGAGGTAATAACATTTAAAATCCTTTCTGTGTCTGGCTTAAGCTTGTACTAATTTGGTATTGACATGATGTAGAATTAAAACATTATTATTCTAGTAAGTGATTTATTTGTACCTTTTCCCTTGGTAATAGAGATATTTCTTTTTCTTTATATATGTTTTAAAGGTTGTCAAATAGTTCCAAGTAATAAACTTTTTTTTGTAATTTGAGAACCATACCATTCTATTTCATTTGCTCCATACTTTTCAGTTTCACTTGTTCAAAAAATTTCTTCCTGATTGAAAAGTATGAAGAAGTTTTAATATAATAGATAAGCCATACATTATGCAGGACGAAGAACTGTATTTTAGGGTAGTTTGTATTCATACCGCAGGTTTTATTGTATTAGATCTTTTTAGAATGTATTTGTTCTGATAATAAATCTTTGCCAATGGGTTCTTTGCTGGTCAGGCACATTTATTGGATAGGCTGTACCCCAAACTATACATCACTCAGTCTTTCATTACACTCTCTGTCTGAGATTTTTTGGTTGTGTTTTATGTCAGTCAGGGTCTTAACCCATGTAAATAGGTTAACAAAGAAATCAGTCAATTCAGTGAACCTACTAAATTCTCTAATGGCACAGGAAAATGGCGAGTGCTCTGAAGTTCAGTATCATATTGGTGAGTTTAATGACTTAGAAGAAAGTTCTCTTCCATCTCTTTAATCACTTTGTGATATTGACCTTCCTTCCCCCCACCCCTGTCACTTTTTCTGAGTTCATTCTAACTGACCTACTTTTAACTTGATGCAATTGAAACACAAACTTTATGCCATTTTAATAGTGTTAGTGCCTTCTTATTTTTATCTCCTAATGTATTAGTTGATCTTCTCAGGTGTTTTAGAGAGCTGTATCTAGGGCAAGTTTACTGCTGTCAGTCTGTTTTATAGCTACCTTTGATTTTTATAGCATTAATATTTAAATCAACCACGGTTAATAAATTCCGGTTTTCCTTTAAGGCATTTGGTTTTGTTGTTTTGACTACAAAAATTATAAAACACGAATGTTCTTGTAATGGAGACATTTTTCTACGTAAAAATTTTTAAAAGACTGCTCTTTTAGGTTGAATATTTTGATACTACTTCGTGGTTTCTTTTTTTGTTTTTGTTTTTTTTAACATGAAATTTATTGTCAAATTGGTTTCCATACAACACCCAGTGCTCATCCCGACAGGTGCCCTCCTCAATACCCATCACCAACCCACCCCTCCCTCCCACCCCCGATATTACTTTGTGGTTTCTAGTAACCCTGCTTCTCAGTGACCATAGTATTAGAGAACATATTGGAAAAGTCTCATGGAATCAAAATGTATGGTTTGAGAATTCTTTTGGTTTTAAATGTGGTTGATACTTAGTAAGGATTTTATTACTAGGCTAGACACAGAACTTTTATTAAACCCCCTCCAGGTGTAAGAAACTGCTGATTAATTGATAAGGTGTTTCTTATAGATGTTAGTTGGATGGTACAAATAGAGAATGTGTCGAGACAACTGAAGTGAACACTTGAGGGAATTTTTGTAGCCTTGATTCTGTGCCACTGTAACATTGAAATTCAATACGATAAAAGAAGAATTCGAGGACCGGGGTTTGTAAGATGGGAATCTGTCTGTTCCCAAGCATGGTTTACTTTTACTGAAAAAAACTTCACCGACAATTGCAGTAATGGACATGGCAATGGAGAGGGTACCACAGAGTTTGGTGGTAACATTTTAGCTCATGCCTCTTGTGTGATGACGTGAGACCTAGGTAAAAGATAGAGCTTCCGAGACTGGGACGTGAGTTCCAGGCTCATGATAATGTGGTGTTTGGCACGTGATATTCTACCCCCTTAATTTTAATAGTCCTATTTGCAGTTGAGGGGCTGTCTCAAGAAGGTGATTTTTTTCCAAGTAGAATCTAATTGTGTATCCTGCGTTGAATGCTCAGTGGCAAACTATGGAGGGAATTTGGCACGTTCAGTAAGTCCTTTATTTAACAAATATTTTTGGAGGGCCCTTTCTGTCTGGAAGAAGACTGGGCCCTAGGCTGTGTCTCACCCAAGAACGCAGGAGAAGCAGGCTAACCCCTGAGAAGAGTGTAGTTTTCCTAGGATTTACAGTATCTCTTCTGTAGTAAGAAGATCATCCCGGTATAAGGTATATATTGTGGCATTTACGGAGATTTGTGACCAACTGAAATCAGGTTGCTTGCTTGAAAATTTCTGAGTTTAGGAGGAAAGAGTGGAGTGTTTTAGGATCAATTTGTGAAGATACGAGACCTTTATAGAGGGTTTCTTAGAAGTTGGATCAGGTTGTTAATCAGGGAAAAATCTTGACATCAAGGAATAAATCCAAGAAGATAGATGGAAAGGTAGCCATACTGAGTGCCACAACATCGCTGGTGTGTGGAATGCTCAGATAGTTGTGCTCACTGTAGGGTTATTTCAAGAGGTTGGCATGGCCCAGCTCCTCCCTGCCAACTCCTTTTTTTTTTTTTTTTTAACCCCTTTCTGAAGGTTCCAAGGTGCTCCATCACCCGCATTCTCAACCTTCAGTTAAATTTTTTATTTCTTCAAAATAAGAAGAGGCATGAACTTGGGCTCCTTATCTATTGAGAAGAAATGGTGTGAAATGAAATAACAATGACCAGGGGAGTTAAATGAAACTCACTCTTGGGAGATCTTAAGAAGAAACTTTGTTTACATACACACAACTGATAGATGTCTGTGTATATTCGTATATATAATTTATATGTAAAACATATATTAGAACTATACATATAGTCCTATGTTCTCATCAATTTTCTCTTTTCTGAGGGTGTTTCCTAAATCTTTCACCTAACTGAATTCTCCTTCTGAAACCAATATTGCACTGTATATTAACTAACATTTAAATTTAAAAAATCTATGTCCTCAAAAAAATTCTTAAAATTCTCATTCACATATATTTTTCTCACGTGGTCTTTTCCTACCATTCATGCAATCATTCTAGCACAATTGTATATCAAGCCTGATTCTAGGAGCTGAGAATAAGAGATACTTAAAATACATCCCCATCTTCAAGAAATTCCTGATTTGGGCTTATGGAGACATTCGTGAAAACAAATTTGACATCGAAGCTGCTTTTATCGTTCATTTTCTGTCTCTGACTCTCTTCAGTCAAACTCTTGCTCACTCAGGGTTCTGACTTCAGTGCTGTAGTCCTGCTTCCCTTCAGATCTCTTCAGGATTGGCTTCTGAATCAGTCTTCACCTCAACTTTCCAATCTACCTAGAGTCTTCCAGAAACGCATCTTCTTCATATTCTTTTATTCTTTTTAGTTCATTTATTCAACAACTATTTATTAAGTACACATAGAACCAGGCTGGGTTCTAGAGACTGGTGGTTATAGCATCAAGACAAAGCACAGTCCTTGCATAGACCAGCTGATGGACACAAGGGGAGACTCTTGTGTACTTGTCTCCTTGATTAAAGCCCAATATTCCTACTTACGGACCTGGAACTTTCTAGGTTAATCCCTTCAGTACTTGAAAGGATTTTAAATACCATCCAGGAGAGCTCTTCTGATCTCTACAAAGGACATTCTGTAGTATTGCTTAGTGGATTTGTTCTTCTTGCAAATTCTTTCATTTGGGAGGTTTTCATTGAAACTAATCCAAATCCTTTCTTTTTTAGTTTTAATTAATTACCCTGCTTGTCTTGTGATAGATATTATTCTGGATGTTGTGCAAGATACCTAACAGGATCCTCAACAGACAGAAAGCTTCATCTTTGAACAAATATCCCTTGTTCCTAGTAGAGGAAGCCCAGCCATTCTATATGATTCTAGGCAAGTCTGTTTTCCTGTATCTCTACTGCTGTGTCTGTAAAATGTCATAATAATAGTTCCTGCATTACATAATCGTTGTGAGGACTAAATTAGCATAGGTCAAGTACTTAGAGATCACCTGGCCATAGCTGACATTTTTGGAAGATTTACATTATAATTATACCTTTGCCCTCCCAACCCCCCTAAAAAACACCATTCATAAGCCCTTTCCCCAAGGTCTCGAGAAATCGCCCAAATTACATATTGATTGTTTTTTCTCCTTGCAGTCATGCCTCTCTCCCTCGTGGACAAGATGATCTTTTTCTTCATTTTGTCACACCTGTTTAAACTGAAAAGTCACAGGGAAGGGACCTCCTTGGAATCTTTTGGTTAACTGCCTAGCGTATTTTTTTGGCAGTGCACGTGTGTTAATATTAGATGTTTTTGTCCCATCTACCTTATCCCCTTTCTCTCTGTTTTCAGTTTCCACCTGAAAAATCTCTTCTATCTCAGTGCCTCTGAGTTGCTTCCATTCTGTTTGGCTTGTGTATTTAAACCACATTACTAAGGTAAATGAAGCATCCGGCATTTAGCTGAATTGGAAGCACCGGTCCCATTGCGGTGACATTACAGCTCTGGTGAGTTTTCATTTTAGAAATTTCCAGTCCTGAAATCTGCAGGTTTTTGTGCATTCAGAGATGTTTTTCACTTGATTTTGAAATTGCATTTGCAAATTGATAGGACCCAGAGAGGAAAAATTCATTTCTTAACACGTTTGGCTTGTTACCATTTATTGATAAGGATCCAGACATCCTACTATTCCTTTTGCTTTCCCTAACTGAATTCTGGAACCAAGATTGGTCTTGTCAAATGACTTGTTTTCTTCCTCTGATATTCTAATGAGTTCTGTCTGACTTGCTTCCCCACCCAGTAAACCGTTTGGCAGTCTTGTCTTCCCAGTTGACACTGGAAAAGGCGAAAGCTGAAAAGCAGTGAGCTGTCTTACATGCTTCAGTATTGGCTGCTACTTGTCAATCGGAAGGAAAGTTCATGAAGATTTTTGTTTGCACTTTATTTTTCTCCCTTTAAAGACGAGACAACTTTGCTTTTGCAGAAGGTGGTGAGGGGAGTGTGGAACAGTGCAAGTTGTGTTCGTTTACCCATTTACTTCAGCCCATGCA